GCTTCGCGCCACTCACATGATGGACCCCAAAAACGCCACCAGGGGAGGCATTTCTCTGGTGAATCTGTCTGAGAGCCGAGCCCGCTTCAGAGCCAAGTCAGTGTCTGAGGGTGCTTTTCTGAACGGAAAAGTTCTTAAGTCCAGCTGTTCAACTCATGGTTGGCCAAAGGATCACATACCAAGGTGGTCACTAGTAGCTGATGTCATTCCAGTAACTGGACTACTGATCCTTCCCCAACTCCCTTTTCCTAATGTCCGTAAGCCTGGTGAGTCAGATTAGTCATTGTGGGCTCCTTGGTGAAGGTAGCTTGGGAGCCAAGGGCGGCAGACATTCTGAGAGCTCTTCCTGCCAAGTCAGGGTGGGGCCCGTTGAATCACACCCATCTCACAGCACTGGATATCTGAGTGAGGACCAGCCTCACATTCTTCCTTTTTTGTAGATTTATTTATTTATTCGGAAGGGTAGATTTACATAGAAAAGAAGTGACTGCTTTTTCACTCCCGAAATTGCTACAATCACTGGGACTAAGCCAACCTAGAGCCATGAACCAGGAGATTTTTTTTTAAAGATTTATTTATTTTTATTGGAAAGGCAGATATACAGAAGAGGAGAGACAGAGAGGAAGATCTTCCACCTGATGGTTCACTCTCCAAGTGGCTGCAATTGCTGGAGTTGAACCAATCAGAAGTCAGAAGTCAGGAGCTAGGAACCAGGAGCTTCTTCTGGGTCTCCCACACGGGTGCAGGGTCCCAAGGCTTTGGGCCATCCTTGACAGCTTTCCAAAGCCACAGGCAGGAAGCTGGATGGGAAATGGAACAGCTGGAACATGAATCAGCATCCATATGGGATCCTGACACTTGCAGGCAGGCAGAGGATGGACAGTTGCACCATCATGCCAGACACATATTGCCCTTTCCTGGACACCAGTGGGTTATCCATGGTCCAGGAAAGCAGGAAGGCATCAAATATCACACTGAATGAAAGAAAAGTCTCTGGGTTTCTGAACCTAAGTCAGAGAGAGTCCTCTCAGTGGAAAACCAAGTAGCTGTTCTCCAGGGGGAAGCATGGGCAGCCCCTGCAGTGGCCCAGTGGGTGTCCTAGCGTTTGAGAGGAAGCCACAATGAAGAGAGATTGTACCCACCGTTCCCTGATGATCTCTCTGGCCTATGAGCAGCACTGCTCTGAGCTGAGCAAGAGTGCAGTGTCCAACCCAGGCAGCAGAACAGAACTTGGAACAAATAGCTCAGCACAGAGAAACAGAGGGACAATGGGATGGGGCCCAACCACTTCTGCAGACTCTGGAGCTCACAGAATGCCGGACCAGCTCAGCAGCTCTCATTGTGGGAGATAAGTGCTGTTCTTCAGACCGTAGCTTAGAGGCTCCAGAGAGAAACGCCCACATTCAACCAGTGCTGAGAGCCTTTGAGGACATGCTGAAATGGCCCTGGGAATGGTCTGAGTCCTCGTCACCATTCAATTTTACATCCAGCAAGAAGTGAAGGTCTGAGGCCCGGCACAGTGGCCTAGTGGCTAAAATCCTTGCCTTACACAAGTTGAGATCCCATATGGCTGCCAGTTCTATCCCTGTGGCCCAACTTCCCATCCAGCTCCCTGCTTGTAGCCTGGGAAAGCAGTCAAGGACGGCCCAAAGCCTTAGGACCCTGTACCCAAGTGGGAGACCTAGAAGAGGCTCCAGGCTCCTGGCTTCAAATCAGTCCAGCTCTGGCCATTGTGGCCACTTTTGAAGAGTGAATCAACTGACAGAAGATCTTCTTCTCTGTCTCTCCTCCTCTCTGCATATCTGCCTTTCCAATATAAATAAACGTTTGCTTTGCTTTAAAGGTGGGGGGTGAGGGCCCGGCGCTGTGGCCTAGCTGCTAAAGTCCTCGCCTTGAACGCACTGGGATCCCATATGGGCGCAGGTTCTAATCTTGACAGGCCATCCAGCTCCCTGCTTGTGGTCTGGGAATGCAGTCGAGGACAGCCCAAAAGCCTTGGGACCCTGTACCCGCATCGGAGACCCGGAAGAGGTTCCTGGTTCCAGACTTCGGACTGGCGCATCACCTGACGTTGCGGTCACTTGGGGAGTGAATCATTGGGCAGAAGATCTTCCTCTGTCTCTCCTCCTCTCTGTATATCTGACCTTGTAGTAAAAATAAATACATCTTTAAAAAAAAAAAAAGGTGGGGGTTGATCCAAGCACATCGACGGGTCGCGGGAGATACACTCAGTGATCTGCCTGGGTGTGGATGGGTGACAGCGACAGGCTAATGGCAAGACACAGGACAAGGGTGGCAGGGGAGCGTGGACAAGAGGAGCCGGTGAGGAGGGCAGCCGTTGATTTCAGAGCAGGGGCGTCCAGCAGGAAGACAGCAGCATCACACAAAACAGTGACCTGGACATTCCCACAGGCAGTGGTGTCTCTGCTGGCCTGATCTTAATTTCTTACCCGCACTCAAGTTCTGAGAGCATTTCGTCTGGAAAAGGTAGTGGAAAATTCTGCTGGTGTCAGCCCTGAGTTACTGCATTTTCTTGTCATTAATTCCTTCAAAAGATCATGGTGTATTGACGGGATCCTATGAGGATATGCTACTCAAATGACTTATTATGGGCCCGGCGCTGTGGCCTAGTGGCTAAAGTCCTCATCTTGAATGCACTGGGATCCCATATGGGCGCCGGTTCTAATCCAGGCAGCTCCACTTCCCATCCAGCTCCCTGCTTGTGGCCTGGGAAAGAAGTCGAGGACGGCCCAAAGCTTTGGGACCCTGCACCCATGTGGGAGACCTAGAAGAGGCTCCAGGCTCCTGGCTTCGAAACAGACCAGCTCTGGCCATTGTGGCCACTTTTGAAGAGTGAATCAACTGACAGAAGATCTTCTTCTCTGTCTCTCCTCCTCTCTGCATATCTGCCTTTCCAATATAAATAAAATAAATCTTAAAAAAAAGTGAAGGTTTGCATGGCTTTAAAGGTGGGGGTGAAGACCCGGCAGCGTGACCTTGCAGCTAAAGTCCTCGCCTTGAACGCACCGGGATCCCATATGGGCGCCGGTTCTAATCCAGGCAGCTCCACTTCCCATCCAGCTCCCTGCTTGTGGCCTGGGAAAGCAGTCAAGGATGGTCCAAAGCCTTGGGACCCTGCACCTGTGTGGGATACCCGGAGGAGGTTCCTGGTTCCCGCTTAGGATCGGCACAGCACCGGCCGTTGCGCTCACTTGGGGAGGGAATCATCGGATGGAAGATTTTCCTCTCTGTCTCTCCTCCTCCCTGTGTATCTGACTTTGTAATAAAAATAAATAAATCTTTTAAAAAATGATTTATTATATATACAGCTTCTCTTCTAGATTATAAAGGTGAATTCAGGAATCACAACTTACCCGACTCTGAATAAAGTGAGTTCTCTTGAATATAGCTAATAAGTGCTTCATAGATGAGAGCTGGGGGGAAGAGCGAGGGGAGAGCAGCAGGCCACTTGGGACACCCACAGCCTATATTACAGGATCGGGCTTTGACTTCCAGCTGCGTTCCCCAGTCCAGCTTCTTGCTGATACAACACCCTGGAATGGAAAGCAACAAATGATGGCAGGGGCCAGCCATAGGAGACCCAGATTGAGTTATAGTTCCTGTCTGGCAGGGCTCTAACCTTTGAGGCATGGGCCAGAGGTTCTCCACTTCTCTGCCCTTTAAACAAGTAAAAGACCATTTTAAATAGAAAAAGAGTGAGGGAAGAAAGTGAGGAAGGACTTCAGGGAAAAAAAAAAGAGGGAAGTAGGACAGAAGAGGGCCGGGTTAAGGAGATTAATTGACCAGAGATGTTAAGGGAAGGCGGTGGTGACAGGCCTGCATCCCAGTATATACGGTGTCACAGAAATGAACTTATCTATTGCCTCATCCCAAATGGCTGGGGACAGTTTACCTTCGGGCACTACGCAAGTTTGTTGTCCATCAAGGCTGTTGCCTGCCTTCTGTGACAGTCAGAACTCAGCTGCGCAGTCTCCATGGTGATGCAGAGTAGAAACAGGGAGATTCTAAAGGAAAAGCACGGGGAATAGGTTTCTAGCGGCCCTACCAACATGTTTAACTCATTTCTTAAGTGTCTGTGACAGCTCACTCTTTAGCCGGTAACACTGATGTGGGGGCAAGTCTCTTCTATCTCATGAAAGATCTTTTAGTAAATGGGCCTAACCTTCCAGCCCACTCACGGAGAGCACTCTGTAATGATGAAGAAGGGATCCCCGGAACAAGAACCTCAGGAAGCTAGGATGAAGCCCACGTGTGTGGGAGCAGGGCACACAGCCCTGCCCGTACCCCGGGAGCTTTACGCCTCGGCCCTGATCCCCTCAGAGGAACTTTCAGTAAGACCACACAGGACAGAAGGCGGCAGGGAGGAAGGGCAGCGGGAAGGCTCGGACCCGGTCGCTCCATACCGGCGCCGAGGGCGACTCTTCGCAGACGCCCGCGGGGTCCGTCACGTGTGCTCTCCATGATGATACTTATTCTTTCTGGAGAGCTGCCCTGGCTACCCTGTCTACCACTCCTGCCTTTCGCTTCCTGTTCCTCCACCTCGCTTCACTCATCTCCGCGGAGCAGAGAGGTGCAGCCATGTTGAAACCCTTCCGGGTTTCTCTTAAGTTTAGCCCACCGCAAGGCCGCGGGTCGCAACAGGCCAGCGAACGCACACGTGCACTCTACGCATGCGCCCCGCGTCGCCAGGCATCCCGCCCTCAGGGCAGAGCCCTCGGCCTATAGGCAGGCCGCACTCAGGACACGTCACGTGTTTTGCATACGCCCGCCCCTCCCCGCCCAGATTGTCGCCTAAGCGCCCCCCGCCGGCATCCGATTGGCTCTCTGCGCGGCCCCGCCTCCACCTCCGCCCGGATTGTCGCCTCAGGGCCCCGAGCCGGCATCCGATTGGCTCTCTCTGCGCTGCCCCGCCTCCAGAGCGGCGCGCGCGCGGCCTCCCCCCTGCTCCTCCTCCCTCCCCGCCCCCTCTCCCTCGGCTCCCGCTCGCGCCGCCGCCTCGGGCCCGCGCCGCGCTTCGCCGGGGCTGAGGAGAGGCCGGGCTCGTACCTTGCTGCCGCGGCGCGCCGTGTCGGGGAGGGCCGGCGGGAGGGAGAGCCGCTCGCGCCTCGGTCAGCTCGCGGAGTCGGAGCGGCGCCGCGCCGGGCCGCGTGATCGTCGAGCCGACCTCGAGCCCTAAAGCGGCGGGAGAGCGCCGCGGGCCCCACCCATCCGGGCCGAGGCAGCCGCGGCCATGGCCGAGACGGAGGAGCGGAGCCTGGACAACTTCTTCGCCAAGAGGGACAAGAAGAAGAAGAAGGAGCGGGGCGGCCGGGCGGCCGGGGCGGCGGGCGCGGCGGGCGTGGGCGCCGGCGGCGGCGGCGGGAGCGGCGGCTCGGCGGGCTGCGGGGCGGGCGCTGGGGCCCGGCCGACGGACGGCGGCGCGGCGGGCGTGGGGGCCGCGGGAGCCGGGGCCGCCGCCAAGGCCGTGACCAAGGTGAGGAAGGCCGCATGCCGGCCGGCGGGGGCCCCGGGACGCGGCGCAGGGAGGGCCCCCCTCGCGATCGGGGCCGCCCGCGGGGCTGGGCCGCCGGGGCGCTGGGGCGCCGGGGCGGGCGTTGGCCGGGCCGAGGCCCTCCGCGCGTCGGGGAGGCCCCCGCGGGGCGCTGGCCGGCCTGGCCGGGAGGGGAGCGCCCTGGGGCCGTGCTGACCGCCTCCTCCGGCCCCCCCGGTGGCCGAGCGGAGCGTCCGGCAGGCCCGAGGACACGGCGGCCAGCAGCTCGGCCGAAGCGGGCCGCGTGCTGCTGCTTCTGGTCTTTGGGGGGGCTGGGGCGCGCGTGCCGAGCTCGCTGGGTGTCCCCTACGCGTTTGCAGAGGGCTCCCCCACCGAAGCGGGACTTTTTTTTTTTTTTGTAAAGAGCTGCAGGCAGGCAGCTTCACCCCCGTGGTGTTTTCTTTGCACAGGATGAAGATGAATGGAAAGAATTTGAACAAAAAGAGGTTGATTACAGCGGCCTTCGAGTTCAGGCAATGCAAATAAGGTATGGGTTAGTCCCAAGTGACTGGGCGGCTTGGGTATGGGCGAGTGGACCTCACTTCGTTGTTGTTTAAAGTGAAATCTGGCTGGGTTTTGGATTGGAAGTAGAGGATTCTTACAGACAAATGCAGGTTTTGTGTGTTTTCACTGTGAGACCTACAGGTGTCCCACTTCGGGAAGCCCCAACATGTGCAGTACAGAGCCAGGTCCCCTCGGCACCTCGTGGCGCCTTGCTTAAAGGACACGTAACCCCTTCACACCGTAGCTCTGACTTTCCAATTAAAAAAAAAAATCTTAAAAAGTAAAAGATACCTATAATCCCGCCCCAACAGTGGAAAAGTTTATGCATAGCTTTATAGGAATGCCTTTCAGCAAGAGTAATTCTTAAGAACTTGAATTAACTGATTTAGAGAATTTATTTTTTTGAAGATTTATTTATTTTTATTGCAAGTTCAAATTTAGAGAGAAGGAGAGACAGAGAAAGATCTTCCATCTGTTGGCTCATTCTCCAAGTGACAGCAGTGGCCAGAGAGCTGAGCCCAGCGGAAGCCAGGAGCTTCTTCCAGGTCTCCCACACAGGTGCGGGGTCCCAAGGCTTTGGGCGGTCCTGGGCTGCTTTCCCAGGGCACAAGCAGGGAGTACGAATCACTGCCCGGATGAGATCCTAGTACATGCAGGGCAAGGATTTAGCCACCAGGATACCAGGATCCTTGAGGATCTGAAAATAATGCTGTTCGTTATATCCAATCTCAAAATGACCTAATTTGAGCGGCTTGTAAATAAAATTGGTATCTGATTCTTGTTTGAAGATTAAGAAGAAAGGCATAACCTTGATAAGCTGTGCCCTGCCAGAGGCTTGCAGTTTGTAAAAAAAAAAAAAAAAGTTCATGGCATGGTAGAAAAAATATTTTAAAGAAAAAAAGAGAAATACTTTTCTTACCCCAAAACCGGCCTTTTGGTCACCCTAGTGATAATATTTGTGATTTTGCATGTCTCTTACTGAGAAGCCAGGGTTAGTGTGTGTGACGTTTGTTGAATACTGCTGACACCTGAGGTGTCAGTGTCCTGGTGCTTTTCCCGGGGCTAGGTCATGTAGAGGCATCTGAGCGCCGCAGGCCCCGGGCTCCTGGGACGCAGGCCACCCCTGAGAGGCAGCTCCTGCTGGATTCCTTTGTAGTAGTGTCAAGTACAAATGATTGGGCTGGGAATTTGTTCTCCTGCCCATGTTGGCCTCTTTCCTGAATTTGAAGAGATATCTATCAAATAGCCTCGCTTCCTTAATCCTGAGATTCACTGGGCCTATAAAAAGGGGGTTCAAGAAAGGGATGTGGGACCCGCACAGTAGCCCTAGTGGCTAAAGTCCCTCTTTGCAAGCACCGCAATCCCATATGGGCTCCAGTTTGTATCCTGGGTGCTCCACTTCCCATCCAGCTCCCTGCTTGTAGCCTGGGAAAGCAGTCGAGGATGGCCCAAACCCTTGGGATCCTGTACCCATATGGGAGACCAGGAAGAAGCTCCTGGCTTTGGCTCATCGCAGCTCTGGTCATTATGACCATGTAGAGAGTGAACTAAAAGACAGAAGAGCTTTCTCTATGTTTCTGTAAATCTGATTTCCCAATGGAAGGAAGAAAAGGCAGTATCAATTGATTATCTCTTAAAGACAAGAAGGGGCCGTGAGGTCCTGCCGTTCGGGGCTCTGCCAGTGGTGCCTCGCCCTGCACAGTAGTGTTTCTGGACCGAGGCAGCGCTTTCCGAAGGGAAAAGTGTTCAAGTGAGCCGAATTGAAAGTTTGTTAATTTCGGTGGTCTGTTTTATTTAGGAGTGTGCTCCCAGCTCTGGTTCTCTCCTCAGTGCTTGCCTGGGAATGGGCAAAGCCAGGAGCTAGAAACTCGATCTGTGAATGACAGAAGCCTAGGGCCACCATTGCCTCCCAGGGTCCGCATCCGGAAGTGGGAGTCAGAAGCCAGAGCCAAGTATCCATCATGTAATTATTGCTTGGGAAGCGGGCGTCTAAACGTGAGGCTCAGCAGTTTGCTTTAATGTGTGCGTCTTCCCACTGAGCTGTGCAGTCTGGGCTCTGGTGTAAGGGACAAGGGTGGTCTTGGATGAATAAAGTGTGCCTGTAACTTTCATTCGCATCTTGGCAGTCTTTGCCTTGCGTGCTAGAGTTGCTGTAGTGTGGATATTATATACGTTCTGCAGGTGCTAGGCCGTGTTACATGCTGGTCCCCTCAGAAAAGGTTAAATAGATGAATAGCAGCAACACTGCATTAAGGTCTTGTCTCCTGTTTACCAAGAAATTCAAGATTTAAGTGCCATGAAATTTCCAGCTGAATTGATCTTACTCAATGTCATGTCCCTAGACAAGTATTTGAGAAAAGGAAGCCATTGGTAGTGGTAAAGGAACCCAAATGCTTAAAATGGACTTGGAGAGAAAGTTAGAAATATTTAATTTTTTTTAAAAGATTTATTTTTATTGCAAGTCAGATATACAAAGAGGAAGATCTTGTGTCTATTGATTAACTCCCCAAGTGGCCACAATGGCCAGAGCTGCACCAATCCAATGCCAGGAGTCAGGAGCCTCTTCCTGGTCTCCCACGCGGGTGCAGGGTCTCAAAGCTTTGGCCTGTCCTCAACTGCTTTCCCAGGCCACAAGCAGGGAGCTGGATGGGAAGCGGGGCTTCCGGGATTAGAAACAGTGCCCATATGGGATCCTGGTGCGTTCAAGGTGAGGACTTGGCCACTAGGCTATTGCGCTGGGCCTGTAATATTTAATTCTTGAGGTTAACAATTTTAAGTCATGTTTCAATCAAGACTTAAGTTCTCTGGAGTCCGAGATTTCTGAGAAACTTGTTGAGAAATGAGGACTTCAAACCTAAAAGAGGAGATGATAGTATGTATTTTGCGAATACAAACTAGATTCATTGTAGCACGAATTCATGTGACTGCCATGTGTTAGGACATGATGCTTGGCTTGACGGTTGTGAAACACTGGTCCTGCAGTAGGCACCAGCAGATCATTTCAGCGTTGACCAGGTGCTGCAGTGCGGACACCTGCATCGGGAAACTGCATGCACGAAGTGTGGTAACATTCCGTGTCTTGACATTGTTCTTGGTTGCTTCTCAGTGTTGAGAAGGGATTTCAGGGCACAGGCAGAAATACTCAGATTGTGTTCTTAAAGAATTACTTATTTTGCACCCGGCGGCGTGGCCTAGCGGCTCAAGTCCTCACCTTGAACACATTGGGATCCCATGTGGGCGCCGGTTTTAATCCCAGCAGCTCTACTTCCCATCCAGCTCCCTGCCTGTGGCCTGGGAAAGCAGTCGAGGATGGCCCAAAGCCTTGGGACCCTGCACCCGCATGGAAGGCTGGATTAAGCTCCTGGCTCCTGGCTTCGGATTGGCATAGCTCTGGTAGTTGCGCTCACTTGGAGAATGAATCATCGGATGGAGGATCTTTCTCTGTCTCTCCTGTGTGTATAGCGGGCTTTCCAATAAAAATAAAATAAATCTTTAAAAAGCCAGATTTGCAGAGAGGAGAGGCAAAGTTCTTCCCTCTGCTCTTCACTCCCCAAGTAGCCGCAGTGGCCAGAGCTGAGCGTCTATGAAGCCAGAGACCAGGAACTTCCTCCAGGTCTCAGGTGGGTGCAGCATCCCAAGACTTTGGGCTGTCCTGGACTGCTTTTCCAGACCACAAGCAGGGAGTTGGATGTGGAGTGGAGCAGTCAGGAATCGAACCAGTATGTGGTTCTAGCGCATGTAAGATGAGGGGTTAGCCATTGAACCATCGTGTTAGGCCTGCTTACAAATTTTTATGTAGTGTTTGATGAGCGAATAGGCTCCTGATAAACCATACTAAAGAAACTCCTCCTGGCTTTGGATTGGCTCAGCTCTGGCAGTTGTGGCCACTTGGGGAGTGAGCCAGTGGAGGAAAGGTCTTTCCGTATCTCCTCTCTAAATCTACAGTCCAATAAAAATGAAATGGGCTTTTCACCCCGTTCTAGAAGTGTAAAGAACACAATTAAAGTATGAGGCAGCAGAGTCCCAGGGCCATAATGCAGGAGTACAGGTCCTGGGTGTGTGGTGCTCTCTGAGCCACAGTCTAGGCTGGCAGGCAGCTCTCCCTGTGTCCCATCAGCCTTACCTCCACAGCCAAAAGAACAATCTCAATTGGGATTTTCTTTTTTAGTTTGAGAGGCAGAGAGCATTCACACAGTCTAAGTGACTATCCAGGAGCTAGACACCAGGTCGCCCAGGGCCTGGCCTGCTGCATTTCAGGAGCGTCTGAAGGCGGGAAGGGCACTTGCTCAGGGGCTCTGATCCCTCGCGCGTTGAGCCGCTGCACTCTATTTGTGACAGCGTATTTGGTATTGGAAAGTCAGATATACAGAGAGGAGGAGAGACAGAAGAAGATCTTCTGTCCGATGATTCATCACTCCCCAAATGAGCGCAACGGCCGGTGCTACGCCGACCCGAAGCCAGGGGCCAGGAACTTCTTCCAGGTCTCCCACACAGGTGCAGGGTCCCAAGGCTTTGGGCTGTCCTCGACTGCTTTCCTAGGCCACAGGCAGGGAGCTGGATGGGAAGTGGAGCTGCTGGGATTAGAACCAACGCCCATATGGGATCCCGCGGGTGCGTTCAAGGCGAGGACTTGAGCTGTTAGGCCTAGCCGCGAGGCCACGCTGCCAGGCCCTTTTGGGGATAGTATTAAAACTGCTTTGATTCAAAGCCCGATACATGTTTGGAAGAAAAGGAATGTTTGTAGTGTGTTTCTTCTGGCTTTGTTAGTAGTTTTTTAAACCATTTAACATTCAAAAAGCTTTACAGATGTTTTTAATTAGGCTCCTGCCTTAGGGTTTTTTTTTTTTTTTTTCTGTTCTTGCCTTAGGTTTTTTTTTTTAATATTTGTTTATTTTTATTGCAAAGTCAGTTATACAGAGAGGAGGAGAGATAGAGAGAAAGATCTTCCATCCAATGATTCACTCCCCAAGTGACCACAATGGCTGGAGCTGCTCCGGTCCAAAGCCAGGAGCCAGGATCTCTTCCGGGTCTCCCACGCAGGGGCAGGAACCCAAAGTTCTTGCCTCAGTTTTTACTTCATTGATGCTTTTGTGTGTTGTGCCCCTTGTTCCACTTTGGCTCTTACGGTTTTTATGGCATGCCTTTGTAAAGTGTAGTGATTACTAGAAATATGGGTGTTGCATTGTAGCAGAAGATCCTACACGACGCTGATGATTTAAAAGCAAACTAGGATTGGGCAGTTTAGCAAAGCAAGTTAAGGTCGCTGCTTCGGACACCTGTGTCAGTGGAGTTCATTTGAGCCCTGGTTTGATTCCGTTTCTGGTTCCATTCGTGTTATCCGTAGGGGAAGAGTCAGATGGAGTTCTGGCTACCTCTCTGAGTCCTGGCTGCTGCAGCCTACACTTTCTGAAATAGTAGATATGAAAATAATAGGGCATGGCGTGGTAGCCTAGTGACTAAAGTCCTCGCCTTGCATGTGGTGGGATCCCATGAGGGTCCTGGTTTGTGTGCTGGCTGCTCCACTCCACTTCCCATCCAGCTCCCTGCTTGTGGCCTGGGAAAGTAGCAGAGGACGACCCACATCCTTGGAATCCGGCACCCATGTGAGAGACCCGGAGGAAACTCCTGGCTTCAGATTGGCTCAGCTCTGGCCATTGTGGCCACTTGGGGACTGGACCAATGGATTGAAGATCTCTCCTCTGTGGATCTGCCTTTCCATTAAAAATCTTTGGGGGAAAAAAAAAAAGAAAATAGACTATGTAAACCATGTTCTGTGCTGTTTTAGTACTGTGGTCTTAGTCCCTTTATCTGTTGGATGGTGTTTCAGAAGTTTATCTAATATTATACAATTACAGCAGGCTAAAACATATTTTCTTATTTTTCCATTGTTTTTCAGTCCTTTGCACAGGTTATAAGAGTCATTTATTTTTTGAAAAAGCAGGTCAGTGAAGAGGAGGGACAGAACGATAGAGCTTCCATCCACTGGTTCATTCCCACGATGGCTGTTTGGCCAGAGCCGGGCTGGTCAGGAGCCAGGAGCTTCTTTTCAGTTCTCCTACGTGGGTGCAGGGTCCCAAGCTTTGAGCCATCCTCCACCGCCTTCCCATGTCACAAGCAGGCGGCTGGAGAAGTGGTTGTGCCCATATGGGATGCCGGCCCTGGCGTCTAGGTATATGTTTTAATTTGTGATGGTTTTTGAATTTATGCGTTTCCCTCTGTAGGCTTGGAGATGGTGGAGTCTCCAGTGAAGGAAATTGCTCCTGATGCTGTGTGTAGTTGTGTCAGTCACCTTTTTCTTCCTGTGTCACATACGTGGGAAGAACATTTCAGTTGCTGCGCTGGCATAGCTTCTAGAGCAGACTTGAGAACCAGGCCCTGGACACAGTTGTGATGTTTGAAGGTTATTTCCGGTTGGTGCTGGAGCTTCGCAGGCCAAGACGGGGCAGCTCCGTTAGTGTGGCCTTGAGGGGATGGTGCCTGGCAGGGCCCTTTCAGGTGGGACCGGATGGAGGTGACAGTGAGGGATACTGTCCTGGTATTGGGCCCCTACTTCAGTAGCCACACAGATGGAAGCGTGTTTCAAGGCTTGCCTTCTGACCGCGCAGTTCAAGTCTTGGGATCGTTTCCTTAGCTGCCCGGGTCAGTCGGGGACACGGAAACCCTAACAGTGTAACAGTGATTTGTCAGACCAAGTTTGGAATTTTTTCCTTTAAGATTCTTTAGAAAAAAAAATGTACTTGCCTTTAGAACATTTGAAAAAAAAATTATGAAAATAGGAGAAACCCATAACCCCTTCTGCTTGGGGTAATGATTGTTACTGTGTGTGTGTGTGTTTTGGGAAGGATTGCTTACCGCACACTAATAGTTGCAGCTTCTACATGTTATCAATATTTAAGCAGTTACGGGAGAATGTATTTTAGAATCAAAGAGCTCTGTGTGAACAGCTCTGCGAGTCAGCAGTGTTAACAGTGATGACGGCCCTCTGGAGGCCTTCACGGTGTGACGTATGCGAAAAGCGCCTTGCGGGCCTGGGCCTGTGCACCCACCCGGGCAAGGGCAGTGCCAGGCTTGCCCCTGGCCTAGCAGATGACATGGCAGTGACTGCGCTGGCAGTGCTTCCAGGCGGACTTACAGTCCCTGGAGGTAGTTCTGATGTTTGAATGTCAGTGCTAGACTCGGGTAGATTGGGTGCTGTGCGTTTTGCTTGGGCATTTGTCTTACTTAATAAGTTACCTAAAACAGGATCATACCATCTCTTACCCGTTTTTAAAATCCGCTCAAAAAGTGTTTCCAGGTTTGTTTTCCCCGAAATCTCTGTCTCTTCCCACCCATCCTAGCAGTGGTTAAATAGTGTGAACCAGATCTTAGTGCGATATGTCTGTTTCATCCTTGTTTGACATGAGAGCAAGCGGAGGCTTGGAGCAGCCAAGTGCTGTCCTGTCTCCACCTGCTGACCGGTATACTGCATCAAGCTGTTCGTCTAGGCCTCAGTTGCTTTAGAATCTGCTCCTAATATGCATTAAGAAATTAAGTAATGCATTCTGGCTTTTCCTATAAAATATATAATTTTTTAAGGATTTAATTTTTTTTAATTGGAAAATCAGATACATAGAGAAAGGAGGAGAGACCACAGTGGCTGGTGCTGTGCCAATCTGAAGCCAGGAGCCAGGAACCTCCTCCAGGTCTCCCACTGGGTGCAGGGTCCCAAGGCTTTGGGCTGTCCTCGACTGCTTTCCCAGGCTACAAGCAGGGAGCTGGATGGGAAGTGGAGCTGCCAGGATTAGAACCAGTGCCCATATGGGATCCCGGGGGTGCATTCAAGGCAGGTACTTTAGACGCTAGGTCACGGTGCCAGGCCTGTGCATTACTTTTTTATTCTGTTCTCCACGGCTTTTATTTTTTTGTTTGGTTTGGCTCGCTCAGAATCTACAGCAGCCATTTCTGGGCAGGGCCAAAGCCAGGAGTATAGACTCCATAAGTAAAATCTTACTATAAATGCAAATTTAAGGTGGAAGCGTATAATTGCTATTTTTGGCCTCAGCTCTTGATTTTTCTCTGCTTGGTAGGCAGTCCATAAGACAGTGCTTTCCAGTTGCTTAAAGGAGATAATCTGTGCAAAATACATCTTGTTTTTATAGAAATGGGAGGAAAAGCTCCATATATAACCTATGGAAGCCAGGAATGGCTCTCAGGATTTGAAAGAGTTGGGCATTGCTGTGGATCTGGTCTGTACATTAAGGCTGTGGGTTCAGATACCCAAAGGAGAAAATGTGTAAAGTGGAGGGCCAAGGACAGAGCTCTGAGAAACAGCTGGTTGGGGCAGGAGATGGGGAAGACCGCTACCAATCACCATTGGCAAAAATGAACCAGTTCCGGGGAAAGGTTAGTAGGCTCTGCGAGTAGACCTTCCACAACAGACTTGACTTAGCAGAACATTCAAGTTTACATGAAGTCTAAAAAATAATCAGCCAGAGAAATGAGCAAAGATTTTTTTAGATTGTAACTCTGGTCAGTTTAAAGTTGGTATTGGAAAAGCAGAATCCACGCGTCTCTGTCCTGGAGTGGTGTGTTAGCAATGAACATCTTGCATTTGTAATGCCTGGCCAGCCAGAGACTGAGTTTGGGTACCCTGTAGTCAAAACAGCTGACAGGCATGCATGTCTGTCCATGTCTGGACAGCTTTTAGTAGAATGGGTCATGATGAGATTAGTAGCGCTGATATTGACTCTGGACACACTTGTTTTCTTCTGTTAAAACATGAAGCCGTTTGGAGAGCAGCGTGATGTGCCATAGGATTACCATCCCCATATAATATTGTTCAACCTCCGGAAACCTTTATTGCATTTGTAGAGAATTGGTTGTTGCCTGTGAGATAAAGTGACGGAAACCCGCTGGTTCTTCAGTGGCACGTGGCTGGAGCTGGTCCAGATTGCAGTCAGTCGGAAGCTTGAAACTCCAAGCCTCCCACATGGGTGCAGGGACCCAAACTTTTGAGCTACCTTCCCTCTCTTAGACTCGCTGATTAGCATGAGGCTGGAGCAGAAATGCAACGGCCAGAACTGGAACTGGTGCTCTAATATGGGCTGATGGGTCAGGAGCAGCAGGTTCACCCATTGCATCAAGATGCTCGCCCCAGGAATTGAGCCTCATCACTCTTTTCTGTGCAGCCTCTTCCTCCCTTTACTTGCTAAACTTTTTTAGCTGGGGTCCTGTTGTATGTTTTCTCAACTATGAGGTAGTTTGCAAAAAGGAGAATTACAGAGATCCTTTTGTTTTTCCACAGGAAGTCAAGTGAAATTTGCTGTGTAAAATGAAATCTATTCTTTTCTTTAGCTTAACAAGGAAAACATTTCGGGCTTTGAAGGAGGTCAGGTGACTTCTCCAGGCCCGTAGAGAACAGAGCAGTGGTTCTGGTGTGGCTCTAGCTGAATTTATTTGCTTTTCCAATAGTGAAAAGGAAGAAGATGATACTGAGAAGAGGGAAGATCCAGGTGATCACTGGGAAGAAGGTGGAGGTGGCGGTGGTGGCGTAGAAAAATCTTCAGGCCCCTGGAACAAAACGGCTCCGGTACAGGCAGCTCCCGCTCCAGTAGTTGGTAAGCTTAATATTTCTGTTTCAAAAAGATGTCTAGTTTATGTGAAATCGGGAAATTACACACGTCAGCTTTTCAGCCAGTTGCGTGCTGTGCTGGAGTGAGAGCCCGTGGGCTGCTTAAAGACTTCACCTCTTACGGGAGAGCAGCTTTTAAGTTTAGACACATGCTGTTTTTTAATTGGCTGCTGAAGAGTTAGGTAGATAATCCATGTCAGGGATATGTTGTGGGATGCCTGTGTTTGGTTTGTGTTTATATCATTTCATGTTTCCCTCTCGTGTCAAAGCTCAGATTCTCAGTAGGGCTGATTCCAAAGGGTAAAACTAAGTCTTTTAAGGATGAAGAAATATTAAATCTTTTAAAAAGTTATTTGGAGTCCAGTACAAGTAGATACATGCAATTGGTAAGAAATTTTTCATCAAATGGTGGAAGTTAAGGCTGTAATGAAAACAGTTTGAGAAGCACATTGATCCACTCACTGGCTGACTGAGAACTGCAGTGGGTCCTGTTGTGGAAGGCAACCTCTGGGTGGGACCATCAGGTTCCACTCGTGAAAGAATTTGGCTTACAGAGCTTCCGTATGTAAATAATGAAGGATGAGGGATAGGTGTTCTTGGAGAGGAATACCTGGAGGAGTTTGACCACCGCCCTTGCAAAGAGCATCCCAATGACAGGAAGTCTGACTTGGGCCCTTGGTACAGATCATGGTTCCTCAGTTACTAAGTGTTGGCAGGAGGTGTGGATTTAAGTGTCGAGTGCTTGAATGGTTTCTCCAAAATTGTTAAACATTTAGTTACAGAAACTCCAGAACCAGCGATGTCCAGCGGTGTGTATAGGCCACCTGGAGCCAGGCTAACCACAACCAGGAGAACGCCACAGGGGCCACCGGAGATCTACAGTGACACACAGTTCCCATCCTTGCAGTCCACTGCCAAGCACGCAGAAAGCCGGAAGTAAGTGCGGTGACGGCATCTGGCGATGCAGCCTTTATGCCTTGGCCAGGGGCTGGGCTGGGCGCTAACACTCACTGTTGGGGCAGCTGCTTGTTGATGAGGTGCAGGCTCTTAGCAGGGTTCTGTGGGCTGTCTGGAACCCTTGGCAAGCCGGGGGAAAGAGCACTGAGGACAGTGCTGTCTGCGAGGTCTCTCCCTGGTCTTTTAACATGACAGCCATGTTCCTTGTAACGTGGAAGCTAGACATGAAACGGCAGCATTGTACCGTGTTCCCAGACGGTGGCATTTATAAATCTGGTATTAAAATCATGCGGCTTCAGCAGGTACTTAAACACTACCTGGAGTCAAATGACCACACTTAATCCTATCTCTTCTTTAGGGACATGAATTTTTATAAACATAAAAGTGGAACAGACATGTGAGTGACAGCAGGGACTCCGAGCCTGCTGCCTCCGAGTGCGGTTTGCTCATGCTCTCTGCTGTGTCCTGTGTGCAGACACAGTGTTGGGGGACTTGGGGGAGGCAGTGGCCCAGCACTCGTCTGTCAGTCTGTCCCAACAGAACAATGCCTACACCTTCCTGCTTGAAATAGAAGGCTGGTGCTCTTAGTTATGCATCGAGATGTATTGTCTGTTGGCTAAAGGTAAAACTGAGTCTTGGGAGGATTAAATCATTGGTCCTAACATAGTTGCTGTTCAGTGGAGGATGGGACCGTGGGGCTTCAGTGCAGAATTCTGTGTTCTGTTACACTGCAGCCCTTAATTGAGAAGGATTCTACATATTAGTTTCCCCTGACTGTCCCTCATGATTCATCTAAATTGTGTTTTTTTTTTCTTTCTTTTTTTTTTTTTGCAAGGAAAAATAATTTCAAAAAACCCTAACGAAGAAATAATTACTGATTACATTTCTTTTCCCTTAGGGATAAAGAAATGGAGAAGAGCTATGAAGTAGTAAGGCACAAAAATAGAGGTAGAGATGAGGTTTCCAAAAACCAGGCCCTTAAGCTCCAGCTAGACAACCAGTATGCTGTGCTGGAGAACCAGAAAAGCAGCCGCATGCAGTGCAATTGAGGGATGGTCTTTGCTAGCCCTCCTAAGGTCGTGAGCCCACAGCTGAGCGCCACGAGCAGCCCTTCATCACCTGAGCTCTACTGGATCTGCAGCGCCCGATGCAAAAAGTGACCTGGCCCTATTGCCCTCTGCAAGTTAAAGTGCCACAACTGCTCTCTGTGTGGGATGTAGGGGAGTTTTCATTTGTTACCAAAAAAAAAAAAAAGAGGGGGTGTGCTAGATTTAGGAGTGCTTTCATAATTACTCTGCAAATTCAAAATTCAATCCCCCACAGCTAGTGGTCATTTCCAAATCTTTTTATGTTCAGATACTGAGCCTCCATCAGGGTTGACTACCTCAGACTTGCTGCCCTCCTTGTGGACTTCCTGTGGATCCAGCTCTGGATAAGAAGGTTACAGCTGTTGGGTGTTGAAGCAAACAATGAAACTAGCCCTGCTGGGTTCCTACGAGAAAGTCAGCCGCCTGGGTTCTGATCTGCTGTAAAAGATGAAGATTGAAGTGACCTTAACTGACCTGTCCTGTGCCCCACCCGTAAGAAATACTCTGCAGTAGGCTGTGGCCACATACACTTCCTGGAACATACTGCTCTCAAAAGACCTGCTTGTTCCCATCATCTTTAGGGCTGTGGTTCATCCTTTCAACCAAGGTTGTATTTCAAAGGTAACCAGATTTGGTAATCAAACTTGGGTCCACAAAATGGGAAAGAGGGTGGGGATGGGAATGATTTTTTCTAAGTAATTTTTTTTTTTTCAATTTGCATAGTGCTCCACATTAAGGCCTTTTTTGCTTTGACTTAGAGTAAGTTCTTTGATAGAGCTTATTCTAAGTAAATAACCTGAAATATGCATTAGAATTGTGAAATGTGTCATGACTTTGCCAATCCCCAGAGCAGAACCAAATCCCTTTGTGGAGGGCAGTGGCTGCTGGAGGCTCTCCCCCAGGTGCTGCTACAGCCTCCAATCAGGTCTGAATTGCGGTGTCCATGGCTGGGAGAGTGGTACCTGCTCGGGTGAAGAGAGGTACTGATCTGTCCTTACACATTCAGAGAAACAAGAGCAAAACTCCCCCTGAAACCATTCATGCTTCTTGCATCACCTAGACATCTGTCCAGATTTTTAAGGTGGTGGACACTACAGGTGCCCGTTGGCTCCGTGGGTTCCATGATCCACCGTTTGGTGCATCTGGTCACTGCTCATTTGGAGAGTCAAGGGTAAAGGCGGTGTAGCACTTCTGCTTGTAATCGTTAACAGCCTAAGACATCCAGTCGTCTTTAGTCCTTGAGAGGGACTGGAGGAAGCCAGCCAGGCTTACTGAGAGATGCCTCCCACCACGTGAGATATTCTGGCAGTTTTCTGATTTTGTATCTTGGGTTCAGTAGAAACACTGCACAGTGGTATGGAACCGCTTGATGCAGAGTCTAGGTTTCTCTAATCTCTTAGCTAAGTGCGGGAGCTGCAGAGAATGAAGCAAATGGGTGGGCGACGCCATGCGGTGTGCTGACATCTTCCTCTGCGCCAGTGTGGTGCAAGGACGGACCCCTAGCCGGGCTGCAGCAGCGTCCGACGGTCGGCCAGCTGCTCTGGGTAATGATGTTGCCGAAGGGTAGGACTGCGTGCACGCCCACGTGCGTGTGTATGTGTGTGTGTGAGCCAGCCACAGTGGAGCTGGATGGTGAAACAGGAAACAAGAGGCTAAAACTAAGGACATCATTTGGGACCCGGAAAGCTTAGCAAATTATCCCTTGGACCATGAGCCACATATTTCCCCTGAGACATATACATTTTTTTTCCAGCAAAATTTTTGTTGGATCTATGATAGAGAAATGAACTGAGATGTATATGTGGAGGTTTTATTTACTGTGTTAGATATCTAAAGACCTGCAGCAGATTTAAATTCCAACTCATAAATTTTTAAAGGAATGTGAAATTATCCAAATGCTCATGAATCAAGTTTTCATTACTGTATGGTGGGTGGATGAGGCTGTCCATTGTACCATTTCTTTGGATTCTCAGGCATGGTTTCGCAGTGCAAGAACTCTGTAACATTAACAAATTCAATAAAAACTAAATATATGAATTGTTGCAATGTTTTACTTTATTATTTAAAAAGTTTCCCCTCTGTCTTGGAGAGTTGGTAAACTGAGATTTTGTCTGCTGGTTCACTCCCCTTGCAAGTGGCCCAAGTGGCCAGAGCTGAGCTGATCTGAAGCCCTGAGCCTCTGGGTCTCCCACATTTGAGCAGGTCTCCCTCACAGGTACAAGGTCAGAGTTCAGAAGTTTGTAACTTTTGAATATATCTCAAAAGGGCGGCATGGCTGCATTTGAAGATTTGGGGCCCGGTGCTGTGGCCTAGCAGCCGAAGTCCTCGCCTTGAATGTGCCAGGATCCCATATGGGCACCGGTTCTAATTCCAGTAGCCCCACTTCCCATCTAGCTCCCTGCTTGTGGCCTGGGAAGCAGTGGAGGACGGCCCAAAGCCTTGCAACCCTGCACCCATGGAAGAACATTTCAGGAGATTTGGGGTAATAAGTTCAAAATGTTTGTTTTTACTTTAGTACTTTAAGCTACTTTCTCTCCCAGCTCTGCCCCTGGGTGGGCACTGGCTAAGTGGTTGAGGAACCTGCATCCCAATTTGAAACACCTGGACCTGAACAACTTACTGCTGGTGCAGGGCCTGGAAAGCAGCTGTGATGGGTGAAACACTTGGGCTCTTGTCCCACATGGGAAAGCTCCCAAACCAGTGGGTTGGAGCACTGCCATTCTCTTTGAGAAGGAAGAAGGAAAAAAAGATAGTTTCTTTGAAAGCAGAGAGCTCTGTCATCCACTTGCTCATTCCCTGGATGCCCTCAACGTCCAGAGCTGGACCAAGCCCAGGAAGCAGGAATTTAACGTGGGTCTCACTCGGCTGACAGAGGCTCGAGCACTAGGGCTGTCGCCTGCCTTTCCAGCTGCGTTGATGGGGAACCGTGTTGGGCTTGCCCACAGTGTACGCTCCAGAAAAGTTAAGTACAGCTCAAGTATGAACTAAAATTCTAAATAATGGTAGATAATAGGCTAATACAAGATTGCTGGAACTTTTCAATCTTAAGCACTTTAAAGTTTCTGAAGTTAAAAAAGTTTTAAAAAATTCTAAGGTGAGGATGAGGTTACTTGTCTCAACTTGTGATGGGACACTTTTAAGATTTATTTTTATTGCAAAGGTAGATATACAGAAAGGATGATATTCCATCCATTGATTCACTACCCTAGTGGCAGCAGTGGGTAGAGCTGAGTCAATCCGAAGCCAGGAACCCGGAGCCTCTTCCAGGTGCAGGCTCCCACAGCTTCGTGCTGTCCTCAGGCTTGAGCTTGAGCTGACTTGGTGTCTAATAAGTTGGACTACCTAATGAGAGGAAGTCATTTATGCACTAAAGGCAGCATACTGACCAGAAAATGACGTTTGATGGCAGGGGCCGGTGTTGTGCAGCCAGTTCAGCTGCCACTTCATCCGCACCCAACTACGTTGCTCAGTTAACAACTCCCGATTCTAAGTTTCTTTACAATTCTGAGTTCTTTCTGGTGACAGTGGAACACAGTTGGCTGCCAGACAATCGTCAGGGCAGTATCTTGCTTTAGATCTTAGGATTTTGCCTGTGATCCTTGGGTGATTTCACTCCTGGGCTGCATAGGATATAGTACAGCCTGGCTTCGGCTCAGTCTTTCACCCAGTTGGGGTTGGCACTGTGGCAGAGCAAATAGTGTCCCAGTCTGGGCGCCAGTGGTTCAAAACCTGACTTCATTTCTGACCCAGCTCGCTGTGGGTGTGCTTGGGAGAGCAGTGGATAGCCCCAGTACATGGGCCCTTGCTCCCATGTGGGAGACCCAGAAGAAGCTTTGTGGATGGAAGATCTTGTCTTCCTTTCTCCCTGCACCTGCACGGGACCTGCACGTAAAGCAAGCTCCTGGCTTCAGATCGGCTCAGCTCTGGCTGTTGTGGCCATTTGGGGAGTGAAGCAGCAGAGGGGACGGTCTCTGTCTCTCCTCTCTGTAAATCTGATCTGACTTTTCAATAAACAAGTTGGTGCTGTTGAGAGCTGTGCTGTTTTTGGATGGCTGAGAGTGGAACTTCATTTTGTAGTGCCTATGATGAGACATTCCAAACACAACGGTACAAAGAATAATATGTATCTTGGAACCCTTAACCCAGCTTTAACGATGACTTCGGTGAACACAGTCCATTTCCTGAAATATCTCAAAGCTAATCAGGCGTTTGTTCCATCCACAAATACTGGTATTTGACCACAACATAAAAACCCTTGTCAGACCTGGAAACACTTCTGTACCATCAGAAATCCTCCCTGTCCTGTTTGGCTCACAGTTGGTGTTTGGGGATCCTGATGGATTACCCATTCATTGCATACTAATTCCATATTTAGCTGTTGAGGCGACCTGGTCATTTGGTTAAATTTTCCACATTGTGGAGTTATCTCTGCTTCTCTTTGCCTTCTGTGCAGTGTGCCAGTTAGTACTGATGCTGGATCAAGTGGAATCCATCGACGGGGAGGACTTGCCCAAGTTTGGCCGTAAAGCTTTGGCCCATTCAGTGTGGTAACGGCTTACTGCGTGAGGGTGCACTGTGAGCTCTGTGCAGACTAATGCCATTGAGTGTGATGTGGAGATGGGAGCATTGAAGTAGGTCAGGTGCAGCACACGCCAGCCAATCACCCTTCTCAACACTCCCTTGGTAAAGATGCTGAGTGACACATTAGCGAAGGGAGTGCCTGCATCTGGAACTCTCAACGAAGGTTCTAGTCCAGGTGGAGCAGTGCCATGCATGAGTGAGGAGGTAAGTGATGTCCGTGCAGGGCATGCTTGGCAGGCGCCGAGAGGCTGGGCAGGAACTCCTAAGGTGGTCACTGGGAGGCGTGACGGAGCCTGGCACTGTGGCACCACTGTGCCTGTCCTGGCTGAATTCTCCCCAGAGCAGGAGGCCTGCAGGCCACTGAGGCTCTAGTAACCAAGTGTTTATCCCCTTTGCTGGGTGTGAATACCAGGAGGAGCAGGGTCTAATAGCTATGTTCCTGCCCTTGGGCTCTTCCTCAAGGCTAGGATAAAATTTCTGCAGTTTTATCTCATTTGGAAATTTTTATTAATTACAGTTTTTATTTTTATTGCAAAGTCAGATATACAGAGAGGGGGAGAGACAGAGAGGAAGTCCTCTCTTGCAAGTGCTGGGATCCCATATGGGCACTGGTTCGTGTCCTGGCAGCTCTGCTTCCCATCCAGCTCCCTGCTTGTGGCCTAGGAAAGCAGTCGAGGACGACCCAAAGCCTTATGACCCTGCACCCGTGTGGGGGAGACCCAAAAGAAGCTCCTGGCTTCAGATAGGCTCAACTCTGACCCGTACGGCCACTTGGGGTGTGAATCAACAGATGGAAGGTCTTTTTTTTTTTTTTGTCTTCTCTGTATGTATATCTTTCTTCCCAATAAAGTTCTTGTTCTGTTTTAAAGATTTTTTTTTTTTTTGCAAAGTCAGATATACAAAGAGGAGGAGAGACAGAGAGGAAGATCTTTCTGTCCACAATTTGCTTCCAAGGGACTGCAATGGCCAGAGCTGCACTGATCCGAAGCCAGGAGCCGGGAACTTCCTCCAGATCTCCCACGCGGGTGCAGGGTCCCAACGCCTTGGGCTGTCCTCGACTACTTTCCCAGGCCACAAGCAGGGAGCTGGATGGGAAGCTGAGCTGCTGGGATTAGAACTGGAGCCCTTATGGGATCCTGGCACGTTCAAGGTGAGGACTTGTCCGCCAGGCCACCGCGCTGGGGCCCCAATAAAGATCTTAAAAAAAAAAAACAAAATGTACACATACAAAGCTGCACCCGTGCACCTCAGGCATTCTCCGCACTGTCGTGCTTCTGGTCACCACACTGAATGGCAGACTGTGCGACCAGACACAAACCCAGGAGCCTTGCCTCCTGCCGTGTGTACGGCTGTCCTCTAGGTTCCACATCTGCAGCACAGACCTTTGTTTTCCAACTCTGATCCTGTTGGATAAGGGCCCCATTTAAAAAAAATTTTTCCCCATTTTTAAAATTATATTTTGACAATCTTTACATAGTTAATTGGGGTAAAAAGGTTCAAGGACTATAGGAAAGTGGGTAAGACTATTATTTCCACATCGTCTCCTTCATGTATCTGAGGTAAAGGGGGATGGATATTAAGGGAGAAGCCCCACCAGTCTCCCACCCGCCCCAGGTCCCTGATGTGGGGCATGCTCCGAGGGTCTTGCTCAAGCGGTTTTGATAGTTCAGCAGTTATGAATTGCTGCCAGTCTCACCACTCCAAGTACAATGAGGTTGTTGAAGAATCCACTGATTGACATAGTCCATCATAGAGTCTCCGTTTGCCCAGTTTTTCGCTGCCAACATATAGCTGAGGTGGTTGATTGACCTGTCTTCTGTCTTTTCATGGTTAGGGTTCTGAGTCTGGCAGTTTGATTGGGGGAATCCCCAAAGAAACTTTGTCTGAGGTGTTCCCAGACCAGATTCTTGTATGTACTAGCAAGTACAGGGCCCAGCACAGTCCATCGCCCCATCAGCTGGTGGTTGCAGTTGCTGGGTTGGTTCTGTTTCCATCCCTGTCTTCCACTGGAACCAATGGGTGTTTGCAGTCCAGCCTGGTGCTGCCCAGCACATTCTCTGCCCTCACATAAATCAGTGGGAGCTGCAGCCTAGTTGGAGCGACCTGCAATAACCCCCACCAGGCCCGCCCCCTACCCTGGTTTGCCAGTATGTGTAGCAGACTAGTCCAGTCTGTCCCACATCCCATTTGGCTCTCATACATGTCAATGGGCATTGAAGTCTAGTTCCATCTAACCAGCTCCACTATGCAGCCCACACACATGCTGTTGGGTGCCTTTCTGCCCTCCGGTGGGCGTGGTAACCCAAGAGGGAGGAGCCCGCTGTTTCCCATCTAGGCCACTCCCACTCCCGGATTATGCACTCTCCAGGTAGTTCTGCGGTTTGACTTGACAGAACTAGCCCCCAGTGCCAGCCTCAGCCAGCTGAGGCTACCGCCAAGCCCAACCAACCCTCACCCACTCTAATTTTAGTTCGCACCAGTAGGAACAATCGGCCCAGCCTGGCTTTTCCCTGATTGGTCCACATGAGGCGCACAGGTGTGGTAGCCCTGTTTAGTCTGGTCTGCCCCCACCCCAGCTCACGCTCTGCAGTGGGAGTGGCTGTCCAGCAGGGGAACCCTCCTTTATTCCTCCTGCTGGCTCTGCCCCCTCCCTTCCTGGTTCTCACGTGTGCTGGTTGGGTGCTGCAGTCACATCCGGTACAGGTAACCTCACCTTGGCATTCCATATTGTGCACTGGTTTTTGTCGTGACCGAACCTGGCTCGACCCACACTGTTCTGGTGCTTGGATTTGCCAGTGGGTGATGTGAACTGGTTCAGCCTGGTCTGCTCCCGACCCATGCCAAATGTATGTTGGTGGATACCTTCCCATGGCCTGTTCTGTTTCCTATCATGATTCTTGCGCTTGCACGCAGGGTCTGTGTCCTGCCAGAGGAGTTGCCCAGGCTCCTCCATCAGAACCTTTCCCAATGCCAGAATTCGCGCATACCAGGGGGTCTATGAGCCAGCTCTACTCAGTTCACCTCCTGTCTTAGCAGGAACAGTGGCTTTTCCTGACTGGCCTTCAACCCAAACTGGTTCTTGCTGTTGGATGTTTCAGCCCAGCCACGGCTCGTCCATACCCACATACGGCTCACACATGGCTCAGTAGGGGTTGAGACCTAGCCTAGTCTGTCCCACATCTAGTCCTTGCCGCACCTTAACCTCCCCTTAAGGTTGGGGAAATGGAAACGTGGAGAGGAAATCGCAGAGCCTATGGAACTGTATATTAAAAAAAAAAAAAAAAACTATGCAGAAAAGTAACTGTTATAACACTATTAAAAAAATCTCCCTAAGGTCTCTACACTCATATTGAGGTTTAGGCTTTGCCAGGAAGTTCAGTCACTCACAGTGTAAAAGCCACAGCCGTTGACTGATTGCTAACTCTGCAAGCTCAGAGACCTGATGTGTTCAGCTGGTTTGCTGCTAAACTTCATTCGCGAACGTTGGTGAGATTTAATGCACAAGAGAACCGCTGAGAATCGTGGGTTAAACTTGAGCAGGATCCTGGGAGTGTGCCCCACATTGGAGACCTGGGATGGGTATGGCTTCTTCTTTTATCTCCCCCCGTTATTCCTGCGGCCCTTGACCCTCTGTGCCCTAATCAACTATGTAAAGAGTATAAAAATAAAATAATTATTTCAAAAAAAAAAATCATGGGTTAAGATATTACAGGACTTCTGGGGCCCGGCGCAGTAGCCTAGTGGATAAAGTTCTCACCTTGCATGTGCTGGGATCCCATAAGGGCGCTGGTTTGTATCCCAGCTGCTGTTTTCTATCCAGCTCCGTGCCTGTGGCCTAGGAAAGCAGTCGAGGATGGCCCAAAGCTATACTGCACCCACGTGGCAGACCGGAAGAAGCTCCTGATCAGCTCAGCTCTGTTGCGGTCACCTGGGGAGTGAATCAGCGGATAGAAGACCGTGTCTCCTCTAAATCTTTCTAATAAAAATAAAAATTTTAGAGATGTTATAGCACTTCCAAGAAGGTAAGAATAACTAAGGGACGTTTTCCCTTTTTCTTTATTTAAAGATTTATTATTATTATTTTTTTTTATTGCAAACTCAGATGTACAGAGACAGAGAGGAAAATCTTGCATTCGATGATTCACTCCCAAGTGGCCACAATGGCTTGAGCTGCGCCAATCCGTAGTCAGGAGCCAGGAGCTCCTCTAGGTCTCCCATGCGAGTGCAGGGTCCCAAAGCTTTGGGCCGTCCTCGACTGCTTTCCCAGGCCACAAGCTGGGAGCTGGATGGAAAGAGAGGCCGCCGGGATTAGAACCGGTGCCCATATGGGATCCTGGGCATGCAAGGCGAGCACCTTAACCACTGTGCCACTGCGCCGGGCCCCAAATAATTTTTTAAGTAGTAAATTTCAGGTAAAAATTCTGCCGATGATTCAGCCAAACATGAAATGGCTGACAAAACAAAATCAATGTGGTTTTTGTTTGGGGAGAGAAAGATACAGGCTGTAGGATAATGTTTCCTGTTTTTCTGTGGGATTTGTATTGTCCTAAACTATGAAGCAGTTCAAAACGGAAAACCCCGTATTCTCCTGAAAGCCTCTACTCCATATTGAAGAGAATCTGACAAAAACTTGAGGCCCCCTCCCTGTGCAGGTGGTGGCTGCCTTTCAGTCATTAAGAAGTGAAGTTTAACACCATCCCGAGTCCAGCGTATGTGCCGCCCAGGTGAGCACCACCGTCCTGATTCTATTTTATTCCTTACACAAGATGAGGTATTTTTGTTAAGATTCATTTTTATTGGAAAGTCAGATTTACAGACAGAAGGAGAGACAGAGAAAAGAGAAGGATCTTCCATCTGCTCACTCCGCCCCCCCCAAGTGGCTGCAATGGCCGGAGCTGAGCCGATTCGAAGCCAGGAGCCAGGAGTTTCTTCTAGGTCTCCCACACAGGCGCAAGGTCCCCAGGCTTTTGGCCGTTCTCCACTGCTTTCCCAGGCCACAGGCAGGGAGCTGGATGGGAAATGGAGCAGCTAGGATTAGAACTGGCATCCATATGGGATTCTGGCACATGCAAGGTGAGGACTTTAGCCACTAAGCTACTGCACCAGGCCAAGAGAAAGTATTTCTATAATGACTGTTGTAATGTGTGTAACGTTTGATGTTTTGAATTAGTGTAATAAAGGTTAATGCAATTTAGCAGTTCCAAACACAGTCCTTTTAAAAACCTGTGTTTTACAAATTTATTGTTTCAACAGAATGGACTAGGATGTTTTCTTCTGGAAATTTCTATCTGAACGCACATTAAGTACTAATCTGAGTCACTACTGGTAATCTTTATTGTCACATTTTCCAAGTTTTGACACCCAAACTTGGTAAACATCATGGAGGTTTGTACAAACACATATATACATATATACACACACATCTAAGTTTAAAGCTCCAGTTTTCTCAGTGTGCTCAGGCTCCTGATAAAAAGGTACAACAGGAAAGAAGGTAAAGCAGGGAAAACATATATAAATTCCAAATGACACGCTTCGTTATGAATTAAGGCAGGTATTTTAGAGCAGAATCCATCACTTTGCTTAAAACTTTAAGTTACAGCCTCAGATATTTACAAGAAAAATAAACAGCCTTTTGCACACTATAGTTTTCACAAAAATCTAATTGGGGAGTTGTATTTTCCTGTTTTATTTCAGGTAACTTTTCATTAAGTATTCAGTGATTGAAATTTCAGGTGTTAAAAACTTCACATGGAGTCACTACTGCCCCGCAGTGCAATCCGTCAGGATCTCATTTTTGCACACACATCCACCTAGGAACACGCAGCTGTTCTGATGCCCATGTGGGTCAGTGCCAACCAAACTGTGCACGTGGTCACTGCACCCTGGGTCGCTTGAGCTTGTTCTTCTCGGCAGGAGCCTTCCTCTTCTGTGACAAGTCAGGCTCAGGCCCCTCACTCTTGTCAAAGGCGGCTGCTCCTGGGAGGTGGTACTTCTCAAAAGGAGGAGGAGACTCCTGGAAAAGGAAATGAGAATGGCATGGTTGTTCTTTTCAGATTTCAACGACATTTAATTCCACACCCCGCCCCCCTTTTAGGGCTACAGCTTTGTCAAAAAAATTTAAAAAGTAAAAATATATTTGTTCCTGGGTTCTTGAACAAAGCAACTTGTGTCTTTGAAACAATCCAGATGTGCATCCAAACAGGACTGGTTAAGGAAATTGTGGTACATCTACTCCATGGAATATTACTCAGCCATTAGAAAGAATGACATTCTACCATTTGCAACTAGATGGTCCCAATTAGAGACCATTATGCTCAGTGAAATAGGTCGATCACAGAAAGACAAATATTTTATGCTCTAACATAAGGAAACCATCATGCAAATTGGAATGTACAGTGATGGAGTAATGGAGACTACCATATCCAGATGTGAAGACACAATGCAACATGCATCCCTACTTCCAAACAAAAGATGGACTCCCAATGAAAGTGCTGGATATATCTAGACAATGGGATGATGGACTGACTGATATTGTACCAGCAGCTCGACTCCTGGCTTCAGATGGGCCAGGCTCCAGCAGCAGCAGTCACTTGGGGAGTGAACTACCAGATTGAAGATTCTGTCTCTTCTCTCTGTAACCTTATCTCTCAAATAAAATCTTAAAAATAAAGCTTTTAAGACTCAGCACACCCATGCCCACCACACACGAGCCACAGCTGCAGCCATGTGGTGTGCGGGCCTAGCAGGGTGGCGGGCCCTAGCAGTAGCACCTATGACCTCATAGGTGCACGCCTGCTGCCTTTGCTAGGCACGTTGGACTCCGCCTACTGCTCCCCTGGGGGTCGAGCTGGGGTGGGGTCTGGGGGGGGAGGGCAGACTGGGAGTCCAGCGACCTAAACCTTCGCGAGCGGGCCTGGACGCGGAGGATGCCGGATGGGATGGCCACCCCATGCCCACCACACACGAGCCACAGCTGCAGCCACAGGGCGGCTAGTGCGCCATTTGGCGCTAGGCTTCGCCTGCTGGCCGCCCAGCCAGGGAACTCTAGGATTTTCGTTAGTAGATATGATGGTTAGACAGCTCCTAGCTGAACCTACAGTGTTTCAGGGACGTGAATTAATCGTAAAGATTCCCAAGGACAGTAAATCTTCCTCAGATAAACCTGTGAATAATACTGTCCCAACCCAAGTGTATTGATCAATTTTAAAACCTTTTACACTTTCAAAACCTTGTGCTCATCAAGAATGGGGCAGAGAGCAAAGAAATCTTCCATAGCCTTAGAAAGTGTGAGGAAGACATATAGGGTAACCTACCAGGAAAATGAAAGGTAACTTATTGGTAATAGGCTCAAAACAACATTAGACAACATTTAAACTACAAAGACATACAGGGGGAACTAAGAGCAATCCTGACAACCTACCAACAGGACGACATATGCACAGAGCAAGGATTGACCCCAGAGTGGAGCACGAGGACAGGAAGAGGCCTGTATCCCACACCTGGAGACTCCATAAACCCCACCAAGGACTATCAATACGGGCACCAAGGACTGCATCCCAAAAGAAGCCCGAAATCTTCCTCGGGGGATCCAAGGACGTCGGAACAACAGCCAGGAACCCAGAGTGGTCCTCAGAATCAAAAGAACAGTAAACTCCCTTCAGGACTAAGGAAAGAAACTTTCTCTTGTCCTTACTTAGTTCCAACGTTGGGTCTCCACCCTCTATGCAATGACTGTCAGGGTTGCTCCAGAGCCCCCCTCCAAACACACACACACACACACACACATTTGAATAGACAGAGAACAACAAGGAAAGCTTGGTCAGTATAGACTCAAACATACTTTGCTAGGTAGGACACAGAACAAGGACACCTCACCAAGATGCTGAAGATTTCTCTGCTCACCCCTCCTATAACGGTTATGTACCTTATATGGGGAAATGTCAATGTTGGGGCTTTTGATTGATTGGGTTTACTCTGTTGGCTCTACCTTCAGACCAGAGAAGGTCTCTCCAAAAAGCCGTTGAACTTATCTGGGCAATAATATGAGGATCACAATGCTTGGTATATGCTAGCAATGAAGGAATCTCAACTGAACTTGAACTGAGTCACGCAACACGGTGGAGGAATCCACCAATGGGGGGGGAAGGGTCTTGGGAGGGGTGGTGGGAATCCCAGTGCCTATAAAACTGTGTCATATATAAAAAAAAAAAGACTCAGCACAGAGGCCTAGCAACTAAAGTCCTCGCCTTGAATGCACTGGGATCAAATACTAGAATAATCCCAGCAGCCCTGCTTCCCATCCAGCTCCCTGCTTGTGGCCTGGGAAAGCAGTCAGGGATGGCCCAAAGCCTTGGGACCCTGCACCCACATGCAAGACCTGGAAGAGGATCTGGGCTCCTGGCTTTGGATCGGCGCAGCACTGGCCATTGCAGTCACTTGGGGAGTGAATCATTGGATGGAAGATCTTTCTGTCTTTCCTCCTCTCTTATATATATCCAACTTTTCAATAGAAATAAATTAAAAAAAAAAAAAGGTTTTAGACATACGTAGGTTTCTATACCTTCCCTATATTTAACTTCTAAATATTTACAAACACGATCATTATGATAGAAAAATCAGAATGGCAGACAACACAGTGCCCACCTGCTGAGTTATGCCCTAAAGGAATGCAATGGCTGTGCCATGTCATGCCAGTGCTGGGAATGGCATCTCCATCTGGGTCTCCATGTGGGTATTAGGGATGGAAGTATTTGCGTCATATCCTGCTGCCTCCTAGCAGGAAGGTGGAGTCTGGAGTGGGACCCAGACATTCTAGTGTGCAACCCAAGGATCCCACCCAGAGGCTTGAATGCAGGCCAAATGACCCACCTCCAGAGACAAATGCTCTATGCTCTTGGACAGCGACTTCTCTGCGCACACAAGCATATACGTCGTGAGGAAGTTCAGGGAGTGTCACAAACCTGCATCAGGTAATCGGCAATGTATTCTGTTTTCAAGCAGTGCACGTTCTGTGCAGCAGCATCTGCCATGTTAATTCCTGTGTCGTCTGGCTTCAGCTTATTAAAGTCATAAAAAAGATGTGTGGCTTCTTTGAATAAATGAACAGAATGACCACGTAGCACCTGTGGCAGACACAAAAATTAATTAACAATCTACACATGGCCTAAAGTGGCTCAACTGTACAAAATACACTAAAGACAGCCACTTCCAAAGGCCAGGACACTGAGCTGATCGCATGGTCAAACAGTCAGCAATGTGACTGAGGTACCAACCTTCGCTCCTCCGGACTGAAGAAGGCGTCTGAACCCTGCTTCTCGGGTACGATCAACATGTAAGATCACCTTCCACCCGCTAAATGCCCCCTGTGAGAAAAAATGGTCAGTGCTGAAACCATCTAGAGAAAATGCACATACAGATAATGCAAGCTTCTATCTGTAGAATAAGTTTCACATCTATTTTCTTATAACAACGTAGCTTGATTTATGCTTAGTTTTTTTTTTTTTAATAACAGTCAGTAGTGCATCAACGCTGTCTCTTAGCTTACATGAAGTCTTGACTACAGTTCTCCTGAAAATATTTGCAAATTGAAAATGTTTGAGGTTCTTAGAGACCGTGGAATACACGTGAGAGAATTTGACACAAGAGTTTGCGACCTCTGTTGTGAGGAATGAGTTCCTCTGGCAGTCTGGCCCTTCTAAATCACTTACACTAAAGGCTTATGGAGATACAATCCCCGTACTTACTGAGTAATATTTTATTTTTCTTTATGATCAAAGTAACGTATCTGAGCTGGCCTTGTGTTGCAGACCTCCAAGCCCTGCCTGTGATGCTGGCATCTTGAGTTCCAGCTGTTCCGCTTACAATCCAGCTCCCTACTAATGTGCCTGCGTAGTGGGGACAGTTGGCACAGATACCTGAAGCCTTACCACTCTGGGAGAGGCGGGACGAGCTCTAGGCTCCTGGCTTCAGCCTAGCCCGGCCCCACGTACTCTCCGGAGCAAATCAGTAAGCAGAAGATCTTTCTCTCCACTCCCACTCTCTGTAATTTTGCCATTGAAATTAATTAATTAAGGACTAATTTGCTGGAAGATATTAAAATAGTAAAAACAAATCTATACCAATAATACTGAAACAGGTGAGTTTCTATAGTCTGCTTAAGGAACTCTAAAGTCTCTAAATGCTTAGTTCATACGTTCAACTGATAGGAAAACAGACTATCAAGTAAGCATCATTTTATGCTTTATGGAAGTCTGAACCCAGGTTAAAAATCCCTGAAGCTAGGTGCTATAAAGATACTTAGAAACAAACACTGCCTAGAGCTACATCACACACAGAAACTATTTTTTAAAAGCCATCAACATCATTGCTAAACACAATTAGAAAAATTAGGATATAACATTAAGGCCGATTTAGAATGCCTTAACTAACCAGATCAGGTCAAAGGATAAGTGGCAGAGTTATTTTTACTTAACGAAGCACATTCTTTTAAAACAAAAAACCAACACCTTGGAACAGTCACTCCTGAATGCTACTGGAATTATCTTTATTCATGCACATGACTACCTCCACAACGCCCGACTCTTGTCTTTGCTGGATTTGCTTCCTCCACCGCATGGCTGCAATCGCTAGTTTTTTTTGCTGCTCCGTGATTCCAGTCAGAACATCCAGTATGGAACTACTGCCCCATTCATAGTCTTCTTCCTAGAGAACGCAGTCAACAAGCAGGTGAGTTTCTATAGTCTGCTTAAGGAACTCAAAATCTCTAAATGCTTAGTTCATACATTCAACTGATGGAAAACAGAGTATCAGGCAAGCGTCATTTTATGAGCATAGGGGAAATGTAGACGGACGACTTGGTTTCATATATTTATTACATGTATCTGACTTTCAACTTGAAATCATTTCTAAGTAATATGAAACTACACCTTGGCAACTGGTAATATTTGGGTTACCAGGTTACACTGTCTACTTCTAGCTTCACAGAAGCACCCATGGCAGACGGGGCACTGACAGTTCGACCAGGAGATAATCCTACGGAATCCTAGCTGAATATATCAAAAGTCCACATGGTGTACACTACTGTCACAGCTACCAAAAATATCCTAGATAATTAGCTTAATATTCAAAGTGCCAGGAGTCAGGATAAAAGCTTACAATAACATAATCACAGGCAATTCTGAGGCTGTTAGTTCAATTTAGAAAAATACATGCAAGGTACTGATTTAAAAAAAAAGTGTGTAAAAGTGAGTTTGGCTCCGGGCTTTCTTTTATTGCTTTAATAGTTCCGGAAAACCTCATAAAACTAGCCTAATCTACTGGTCACATCTGGAAATCTGAGTCCCGTGAGTGCTCAGGGGATGCAGCAGTCTCTGCGGAAACACCCCTAGCCAGACGTGAACACATACCTGTACGAAGCAGCCCGCGGTTCTGCACGCTTCCAGGTAGGAGCGATGGAGCACCCACTTGCCGGCGGCCACAGAGGCTAAGTACTTCTCGTTTCTCAGCGGATGGCCCACCACAATGTGTGTGCATTTGGGGTCAAAGCACTGCTTCTCTATCACTAATCCACCTTATGGAGAGAAAATTTGGTTGTTGCTTTATTTACTGACATAACTGGGTCTGAACTTCTTTGTACAGAAAAATGTAATCAACCACCATAGAAATTATTTGTAAACAAATTGCACCAAACCATCCAAACCAAAAATATTTGGCCGACAATTATAAACATTATTTTTTTACTTAGGTGCCCCCCTTAAAAAAATAATTGTTATTTTATTCATTTGAAAGAAAGAGTGGCAGAGGGCTTCGCGTTCCAGTCAGGTCTCCCACGTGCATGAAGGAGACCAAGCACTGGGACCATTTACAACCACCTTTCTCAGGAGCTCCAGCTGGGATGCGAGCCTCACAGGCAGTCTCCTTAGACACTATGCCACAATGACAGCCCCAAACTTTTTGGAATTGAAGTCAGATTTACAGAGAGAAGGATCATCTATCCACTGGATGGGAACAATATTCACTGCCTGCCCACTGAGGCTGGCAAAGAACCAAAATAGGTTCTCCACTAGACCAACTATTCAAAAAAAAAAAAAATAGGCAGGAGGTATGAATCAACAAAATTAGAGATGCAAAAGGAAATATAGCGATGGTGCCTCAGATATACACAGAATAATCAGAAACCATTGCAAGCAACTAGATGCCAAAAAAAATCAGAAGATCTAGAAGAAATGGATTGTCACACACATACAATCTACCAAAATTGAATCAAGAGGCAATAATCCTAACAGACTTATAACCAGGATGGAGCCAGAATCAGTAATCAAATCCCTCTCAACCAAGAAAAGCTCTGGACTGGACGGTTTTACCACCAGATCCTACCAAACATTTCAAGAACTTACCCCAACCCTCCGCCAGCTAGCCAACAACAGAGGGAGGCAAATTCTTCCAAATCCTTTCATTGAAGCCAACATCACCTTAATAAAGTCACATAAAGATGCCACAGAGAAAGAGAACTACAGACTGATACCCCTGATGAACACAGATGCCAAAAATCCTCAACACAATACCAGCCAACAGAACCCAGCAACACATCAGACAGGTCATTCGCACAGCCCAGGTGGGGCTTAGCCCTGGCATGCAGGGATGGTTTAACACATACAAGTAGAAAAATGTGATATACTACATCAACAATTGAAGAAAAAAAAAAAAAGCCACTGCTTGCAGTGCAAGATTCCAAATCTGACTTCTGGTTGTTCCACCTCTGACTGCTGTCCCCACTAATGCACATGTGATGGGAGTGGGAGAGACTCAAAACAACCTTCCACTGTCCTCTCAAATTTTTTTTTAAAAGATTTATCAGTCTGGGGTAGGGAGTGGAAATTTGGGGAGGGATAGGGAAATCCCAGACCCTATGGAATTGTACAATAAAATTCAAAATACATAAAAATAAAAACAAATAAAAAACAAACACACACATCTAAAAAAAGATTTATTTATTTTTACTGGAAAGGTACATTTACAGAATGAAGCAAAAAGAGAAAGATCCTCTGTTCACTGGTTCACTCTGCAAGTGACCACAACGGTCAGAGCTGAGGCCATCTGAAGCCAGGAGCCAGGAACCCCTTTCTGGTCTCCCACAGAGGTACAGGGTCCCAAGGCTCCGGGCTGTCCTCTACTGCTTTCCCAGACCACAAGCAGGGAGCTAGAATGGAAATGGAGCAGCTGGAATACAAACCGGCGCCCATATGGGATCCTGGTGTATATATGGCCAGGACTTGAGCCACTAGGCTACTGCGCTGAGCCTGTCCCTCAAAGCTTAACCAAGGATTCAGGAGGACAGCATAAGGAAAGCGTTGCTATGAATGTAGAATTTAGAGGTAAACCTTACTGCTAGCTAGGCAGAGCTGTAGTCAAGATATTTAACAAAATAAACAAGATATTTAACAAAATGTTTACTTAAGCTCTATTCACGATTTACAGATAATGCTAATTAACAGCACCATTTTCCAGGCACTTGCTGGTACACATCAGGACAGTCACACAACCCTATGAAGCTAGGTCACTACTGCTGCACTTAAAACAGTAAAAACACCCTCGAAACAACCAGGATCACCAGACAGAAAACAAAAGAGGCTAGATTCAACATCTGCCTCAATGTTTCTGCCCTCTCCCATCAGGTACCCCGCAGAGTCACAGAATCTCAGTTCTAGTATATTCTATAGCATCTGTCTGCCACCCTAAGTCAGTTCTGTGCTCGTTACTGCTACGCTTGCTCAGAGTCGACAGAGATGGAAAAATCTGCAGGAGTCAACATAGAGTGTAAAATGCATACTGATTTCAAACACCTACCTAAAAGCCCTGCCACTGATATTTTATACTGACTTAGCAATGACAGTATTTTGCCCACACTAGCATAAAAAAAAAAGTAACCTGGGCCTGGTGCGATCCCAGCTGCTCCAATTCCCACCCAGCTCCCTGCTTTCGGCCTGGGAAACTGCAGAGGAGAGGCCAAGTCCTTGGGACCCTGAACCCAACCTGGGAGACCCGGAAGAGGATCCCAATGCTGGATTGGCTCAGCTCAGCTTGGCTCTGGCTGTTGTGGCCATTTGGGGAGAAGACCAGTGGATGGAAGGTCTGTCTCTCTCTCTTTAAATTTGCCTTTCCAAAAAAAATCTTAAAAAAGAAAAAATTCAAAAGTGAGTTCTTTTCTCCATTTACTTCACAATGCCTACCACAGTCAGGGCCGAGCCAGGCTGAGGTCAGAAGCCCAAGAACCCTGTGTGGATTTTCCACGTGAGTGACCAGAGACCCAAAACTCTGAGCTATCACGTGGGGTCTCCCAGGATGGACCTTAGAAAACCGGACCAGAAATAGGTGTTCCAATTGGGATGATTTCCCAAGCTATATTTTAACCAATATACCAAACACTAGCCCTTTTATGTATTTTAAAATGTGGCTTTTACAAAATTTAGAAAGACACGTGTAGCAGAGAGTCTAATTTTATAGAACAGAATTGCTACAGCACTGGGTTACTTTCCCAGTGCTACAATGTTTCTAGAATGACTGCAGAGAGAGATCAGATGGAAGAAGGTGTTACAAGAAAAAGCACTCCTGTCTATATGCACTATACTTTTAAGTTCACTAAAAGTGTGGTTTTATTTACTCCATAGGTATACAATTACACACTTCTCAATAATGAACAAACCCTCAAAAATAATACAGAGGATTCTGACACCTCATTGCTGGTTTCCATCTAAATATTGACTAACTTCCATGACTGACTTCAGATTTATTTTTTTTTAAAAGATTGATTTATTTTATTGGAAAAGCAGATGTATAGAGAAAAGGAGAGACAGAGAAGAAGATCTTCTGTCCACTGATTCACTCCCCCAAGTGACCGCAACGGTTGGTGCTGCGCTGATCCAAAGCCAGGAGCCAGGAACTTCTTCCGGGTCTCCCATGTGGGTGCAGGGTCCCAAGGCCCTCCTCGACTATTTTCCCAGGCCACAAGCAGAGAGCTGGATGGGAAGTGGAGCTGCCAGGATTAGAACCAGTGCCCATATGGGATCCCGGCGCTTTTAAGGCGAGGACTTTAACTATTACAACATCGCACTGGGCCCCAACTTCAGATTAAGACACAAATCTCTAAGGCTGACTTGTTATAGCCCTAGATGAATTACTTTTTCTTTTTCTCAGTTTATACCTCAAAAATGGTATTAATAGGGCCCAGGCACAGTAGCCTAGTGGCTAAATGCTCGCCTTGAATGCACCAGGATCCCATACAGGTGCTGGTTCGAGTCCCAGCTGCTCCACTTCCCAACCAATTCTCTGCTTATGACCTTGGAAAGCAATAGAGCAAGGCCCAAAGCCTTGGGTCCCTGCACCTGCATGGGAGACCTGAAGAAGCTTCTGTCTCCTGCTTCA